AAAATATTTACAGATGGATCAAGAAGGCAAGGAAGTACAGGATGTGCTTTTTTCGTTCCTTCGTCGAATTACGTCGAACATCATCGTCTTCCGGATTTTTGCTCTATATTTACAGCAGAATGTTTTGCAATAGAACGAGCATTATACTGGTGCGAATTAAATCCAGTAACGAAAGTAGCGATTATCACTGACTCTAAATCCTGTTTACAGGTAATTTCTACTATTGCATATAAATATTACCAAAATTCGCTCTTAAATCTCATAAAAAACAGACTTTACACCCTGAAAGCTTCAAATAAAGATATAACTTTTATATGGGCAAAAGGCCATGCTGGTATAGTCGGCAATGAATGTGTAGATTTAGAAGCGAAAAAGGCATGCGATAAGGAATCGTTGACGCAGGTGCCAGTTTATCTAGATTTAGTAAATACATATAAAAAAAAAATAAGAAAAAACTGGGAAGCAAATTACAAAAAATACAGCTTCAACTCTAATAATCACTATTTTACTATCCATAAAGAATTGCCTAGGGTAATTCCTCATATTGATATATTTGGATTAAATAAATTCCAGTCTGGGAACATTACAAGGTTGAAATTAAACCATGGGCGCTTCCCTGCCCATCTTTTTAAAATTGGCCTACTGGATTCCCCTATATGTACATGTAATAGTTCCTCCACTGCAGATCTTAATCATATTTTTTTCAATTGTTCAAACAATTATAATTCAATTATCCAATTGTATAAAATGCTCATTAATATAAATATATTCCCGCCCTATAATATTACGTACCTACTTGCTCTTGAAAATAAATCAATTTATACATATCTCACTAAGTTCCTATCATCAATTAACCTACTAATATAATTTGTTTTTAAAAATCATTTTAATAAAGTTTTTGTATATATATATTCCTCATTTTGTGGCAAACAGACTTAGTCTAATGCCATTCTCTCTCTCACACACACACACACACACACACAAAAATTTCGATATATAGAATTTCTTTAGATTTATATAGACACGACACTGGCTGGTTTTTGGCGCGGTTTAGGCGCGACTCGCTTTATTTACGCACCTTTATGTTTTATTATTCATTTTGTTTTAAGGTTTTATATTCACAGAGTAAAAATAATGAACAATTTATTGAGTAGTTTTTTCCTGTTTCTATTATATCGCCTTCCATTTTCGATAATTTATTTATGCCTAGTATTGTTTATTGTTACACGTAATCAATCGTATTGCATAAGTATAACTATTGGTATAAAAACATTATTTTAACTCACTTTAAAAGTATCCGTAAAAGTATCCGAGAAAGTATCCGAAAAAAGTATCCGGATACTTGTATCCGAGTACTTTTTAGGTGAAAGTATCCTAAAAAGTATCCGGATACATTGTAAGTATCCGTATCCGGTACTCGGATACTTTTTTCCTGTATCCGACCCAACTCTGCATTGTGATAACTAGCATTATCACAAACAATTACTGAATAAGGTGGAAGATTAGGTATTAACTTCTCTCTTAACCATTTGCCGTAATTTTCCGAATTCATTTCGGAATGATAATCTCCAAACTTGGTCCCTGATTTAAATATAATAAGCCTTTGGTCTTTAGAAATAACAGAAAACAAACCTTTTGTTGAATCGTCTGTCCAATTCATGGAAGAAGTATGTCCGCTGTGTACATATGTTTCATCTAAATAAACGATTGGTCTATTTTGACTTCTAAAATATTTTATCTCAAATATTTTACTCTTAAAGTTCTTATTTTCATTTTTTCCGCCAAAACTTTACGATTATTTTGTGTTTTTCTCCATTTAAAATGTAATTTATCAAGGACTCTTCTTAATGAAGTTTCTGATATGTGGATATCTAAATCTTCTTTAATGTTATTATTTAACCTTTTAACAGTAACACGAGACTTTTCTGTTATATGAAAATCGTAAATTATTCTTCGAATGTCCCTCAATTGATATTCAGGGAGATTCGTAGCGGTTGATTTTTTGACGAAGTTTTTCCTAGGTGTGGAAAATGTAATTTTTCTAGGTGTTTCCATTGACTGTTTACCTTCCTTCAAAATTCTTTTAACGGTAGTATAAGAAACACCTGTAAAAACGTAATATTATATTAATGTTAAATTTAGTATTTTTTTACATTTATTAGGAAACAAAAATTTTTACAAGATAAATTTAAAAAATTTAAATATAAAATATTAATCAAAAATAAAATGCATAGATATGTATGTAAAATACAAAAAAATATGGAAAACTACGCAAGTTTAATTGCAAATAAACTACAGAGTATGTTTACCTGTTGCTTGTGCAGTTTGAAGTTTGATATCATCTAAAGTAACTCCTTCCTTTTTTTGTTGCGTCAGAATATTTAAAAACATTGTATATTACTTCAGGACTTTGTCCGTTAATAACAGATCTGTGCTTTTTTTCACCCACAATAAAAGACATCAAAAATAAAACCAGTCACTTTAACCAAAACACAGAAATAAGAAACAAACAATGATCTAGTCGTTACGCTACTGACCGTAAGCAAGGACAAGGTTCAAATTGTGAATGTGCGTGGCGATTTTTAAGTAAACGAATTTGAACATTTGCGTTGGTTCTTCAGATGTGGCACTTACTGTATATATAGTGACTGCATTGTATGAGAAAGATCTCTTGTAGAGAGTTGTTCTATGTTTAGGTATAACAAGAAGGCTAGTATTTTGGTCATGAACATTCGAGCTAAATGTCAATTTTTCCTAAGGTATGCTGGATTATTATTTCTCAGCAGTTTGTGTACAAAGGAAGCCATATGAAGTTTTCGTCTATTAAACATATTAAGCCACCCCAATTCTTTTAATTTGTTTGAAACATGATCTCTAGATGTTAATGTAAAAATGAGTCCAACGCACGAGTTTTGAATTCTCTGTAGCCTTGCCGACGAATCTAGATCTAAACATGGCCCATAAACAAAATCAGCATAATTGGTATGACTTAATATTAACGTCTCACAGAGTTGTATTTTTAGAGATGCATTCAAAAAAGATCTGCTTTGATATAGATTTTTTAAAGAGCCATAACATTTTTGGACAATGGATCTAACTTGTTCCTTAAATCTCAATTTAGTGTCTATATAAATTCCCAAACTTTTGACTAAGTTACATGGCTTAACTACCACATTATCAATTTCTATATTCAAATTATCTTTTATATTACTTTATCACACCTAGGTAGCATAAAAGCTGTTGTTCTTCTAATACATGAATTGCATCTCTAGCATTATTACTAGGAGGTCTATAAACTACCCCACAAGCATAATTGATATTTCCTATTTTCAAATAGATCCATATTTGCTCAAGTTCTTTTCTTACAACAGAGCATTCGACAACAATATTTGCCTTTATGATTGATTTAATAAATATTCCTACACCTCCCCCTCTCTTATTATTATCCCTATCAATTCTCAAAAATTCATAACCTTTTACTTTAATAATAGCATTCTTCATCGTTCAACCACGTTTCTGTTATACCTAAAACGTCCAAGTCATATTTATGTAATAGACATTTGATATCATAAACAACCGGGATCAAGGACCGTACATTAACCTGACCAATATTAAAATTTTTTTTAGAATAGCCATTTGATATAAAAGATTACATTCTAACTTCTACAGAACAAATTAGTGACAAAAATATAAAATATTAGGAGTGTATAGAATTGTAACAACCAGTTAGCCTAAAGACCATGGTCTTTAGCTACTGTTGTTAATATACTATTAAGGGATTAGGGCAGCGACGTCACCAGCCAAAGGGTCCTGGAATCCTGAAGGAACATCCATTCGCCAGTGGCAAAATAAAATAATAAAAGAAAATAATAAAATACAAAAAAAAACATCCCTTAATAGCAAATGTCGAGCGGGTTTGGCAACTGACTTAAGACTCTCAAGTCCTTAAGGGTAGGAGCGCCGAGGCTTAACATGCTCGGAATATTTCTTACTGGTTTTTGGAAAGAGGTGAGAATAAAATAGGTTAATAAACAATAACATGTATATTTAAATATAAGTAAAAAAATTATTAACAATTTTAATAAATCAGAACAATCTTCATTTTTGAAATAAGACAAGCAAAAATTACTATCTACAATTGTAAATCTTTATTATGATAAACCATGTTTATAGAATATAATCTATGATAAAACTTTAATATAATGAAACCTTTTACATCACAAAAACTTTTTACTATAATAAAAAACTCTTTATATGATAAAACCCTTAAAACTGATAAATATTTAATAAGTAATCTTGGGACGAAAATGAAAGAATTGGCATTTGAAGAAAGACTAATGAACTGTTTTAAAATACATAACCCAAACAAGAGATTTAAACATGTTAAAATAAAATAGATATTACCTTTGAAACTAAAACACTACACACACACTTAACTATATATAATAAATACTAATAATTACTAAGTTACATTTTTGGGCATAGGTTTGGCCCAACGGCCGCCCCTTGAGTCTTTTTGTGTCAACGATTGACTCTCTATTTATATCAACCTTAACGTGATTATTTTAAAAAGAAACTCTACTTATTTATTTTTAATGATTATTCGCACGATTTTTCCTTTAATTTTCTAGTACAATGAACTATTTCTAATTGTTTGGTTTTAATAAATATGTTGTGTTAATTTAATAGATATTAAAAATATTAGATATTTTTGGGATTTTTGTTAAATTCTTTATATTTTAAAAATAATAATGCCAATTATTACAGAATCGATTTGTCGGGAATGTTGTATTATTGTAAACCTGTCCAATTCATCTTTCCTAACATACACAGTCCCATTCATATTACCATACAAATCTATAGCTATGGTTTTTAAGAATTTTGGCTTAATGGGTTAAGACAAAGTAAAGTCACTAAGTAGATTACAGTTTCAATATGATGATGCGTAATTTTTTGTTCAATAAATCAATACATTTTCTTTTATTAACTATTTTTTTTAGGTGGTATAGCAAGTGGCAAATCGGGAGTTACAAAACATATGCAAAATTTAGGTGCTGAAATAATAAATTGCGATTTAATAGGCCATGAGTGTTACAAGCCTGGAAAACTTTGTTATAAAGAACTTGTAAAAGTATTTGGAGAACAAATAGTTGCAGACAATGGTGAGATTGACCGAAAAGTTTTAGGTACTATAGTTTTCAAAAACAAGGTAATTTCATTTAGTTCAATCATGTACTTTAATCATTAGTCTTAATACTTCAAAAAATTTAATTAATGTTTAATACATTTTCCTTTTTTGTGATGTTCATATGATGGTTTTAATATAAACGATTTTCACTTTTAATAGATTCTATAAACTTTTTAATATTAATAGTATATTATGACCCTAATACATAATCAAGCCTTTAAAGCATGAGCAACGAGTTTAAAGTCACGACGCGCAGCGGAGTGACTTTAACGTTGCGAATGCTTTAAAGCGATCATGCATTATTGTCATACGATATTTTTTAGCATGAATGCGTAATTAGTAACTCAAAATGTTTTGAACACAATTTATCATTTGGCGTATGCATCCAATTTGCAATTTTCGTTGCCTGAAGATTTGCTGGATCCACAGGAAATCTAAAATAAAACATTGCTGTAATTAAATAAGAAGTAAAAGTAAATTAGAATTTAATAAAAGTTAATATTTAGAATTGTACGACTCGCCACTGGAAAACATTACTTGTTTGGTCATTTTAATATCATAAATTGCTTAAATATCAATGAAAAGCATAAAATAAACAAACTTGGTAGGTAAAATTTATTACTCTGGAGTGAGACATGTACAATATGTAAATACCAAGTTGTATAACACCAAATAAAATGAAAAATATAAGAAAATATATAAAGTAAAAACGATTGATGTTTATCATTTACCTGTGAAAAGTAATATCTGCTTCTTACTTGCCGCTATAACTTTTACACTGAAATGCCACACAATAAACCATTGTAATAAATCAATTATTAAATGTCGTTTTATTGAAAAATCAGAAATAAACACAAAACAAACTTTGGTGTCACCAAAATGCTAAGCACCAAAGTAATGGCGGCCAATAGATAATCGGCACAGATTACTACGTGTGCTCGATATACTTGTTACGCGTCCTCTTTTTATTACCTAGTCTAAGGATACAACTGACAACATTAACGCATAACGTCTATCATAAAACTGATCTCTGACGTCAGGTCGTCGACTTATATAGCTCGCCTTAACCTTCTAGAACAATCCGGATTTTCCTTTAACAAGGAATGACATTTCGAGACATTTCTGGACTATTCTATCTTCTTCATTTACTTGTACCTTTACTTATGACAAGCGCAGCACGCTGCAGGGTGCTGCGTAACATTTATTCCTCCTCTCTAGTTATTCGTCCCAAATAACTTGATTACTAGGATCTGGTTAGAGCTAACGGGAAGGATCTGGATCACGGCATGGCGCTAACTTTCCAATATTAGTCCAATCAAATAGACATTTAAATCAAAATTTTGGAGGAAATACAGGAATTTTTGATATAAGTTACTTTAGAGTATTTGAAAACGACATGTAAAAAATTTTGTTTTTCAGGCACCGGCAAATGTCAAAAAACAAGAAAATAAAGTGTTTTTTTAAGGTTATTTTAAAAACGGTAGGTGCTATAAAAAAAAGTTCTTAATAAAAATTGTAAAGGATAAAGTTTTACATAAAAATGGTATTTGACATTTTTTGCTATTATTAAAACTGATAGTGTTAGGGTGGTTAGAAATTAAGAGTAGATATATATGACTTGGAAAAATCATAACGAGCTGAAAATTCAATGTTTCTGTAGTTTCTTTTTATTATTTACTCAGAAAATTATAAATTTCTTCTAAGAAAATTTTTTTTTTTTGTTTTTTTAAGTTATGACAATTTTAATTTAGAAATTTTCAATATATTGTACGAATTTAAAAAATAAAAATGAAAATAAAAATAAAGATAAAAAATTAATAAAAATATATATAAAAATAAGTAAAAAAAAATAAATATATAAATGAAATTAAACAAAAATAAATAAAAAGATAAAGTAAAAGATAATAAATAAAAATAATTAAAACTAAAAAAATAAAAAATAAATACAAATAAAAATAATTAAAACTAAAATAAAAAATAAAAAAATAAAAAATTTAAATAATAAAAATAATAACATAGTTAAAAAAAATTAATAAAATTCGGTAAATTATTAAAAATAATAAAAACTAAATAAAATTAAAACAAAAATAAATGAAAAAAATAATTTAAAAAAAAATGAAAAAATAAAAAAAAAAATAAATAAAAATAATTACAAATAGTTAAAAAAATTAAATAAAAGTAGGCATGAAAATAAAATAAAAATAAATAAATAAATAAAAAGGAATAAAAATAAAATTAAAATAAAATGACAAATATTTAAAAAAAATGAACAAATATTTAAAAAAAATGAACAAAAAATAAATAAAACAAATAAAAATAAATATAAATAAATAAAAATAAAAAATATATATAAATAAAAATAAATAGAAATAAAAATAAAAAATATATAAATAAAAATAAAAAGAAATTAATAAAAATAAAAAAATATTTATTTTTATTTATTTTTGTTCATTTATTTTTATTTATTTATATTTATTTTCTTTTACACTTATCTTTTCATTTATTTTTGTTTAATTTTAATTATTTTTAATAATTTACATATTTTTATTTAATTTTTTTAACTATTTGTTATTATTTTAATTCATTTAAATTTTGTTTATTTTTTCAATTATTTTTATTTTAATTTTTTTATATTTATTTTTATTTTTACTTAATTTTATTTATTTTTAATTTTTTTAGTTTTAATTATTTTTATATATATTTATTTATTTATTTATTTTTATTAATTTCTATTTTTAATAATTTACTTATTTTTATTTTTTTTTTTTAAATGTTTGTCATTTTATTTTTTTATTTTTATTTTATTTTATTTTTATTCACTTTTATTAATTTTTTTAACTATTTGTAATTATTTTTATTTTTTTAATTATTTTTATTTATTTTCTTCTACACTTTTTTTTATTTATTTTTTATTTTTAATAATTTACCTAATTTTATTAATTTTTTTTACCTATTTGTTATTATTTTTGTTTTTAAATTTTTAATTTTTTTAATTATTTTTTATTTTAATTTTTTTTTATTTATTTTTTATTTTTTTTTAGTTTTTTAGTTTTAATTATTTTTATTTATTTTTTTTAAATATTTGTCATTTTAATTTTTTATTTTACATTTATTCACTTTTATTTATTTTTGTTTCTTTTTATTTATTTTTATTTACTTTCTTCTACATTTATCTTTTCATTTTTATTTATTTCTGTTTCATTTCTATTTTTAATAGGCAATCTATTTTTATTTAATTTTTTTAACTATTTGTAATTATTTTTATTTTTTTAATTATTTTTATTTATTTTCTTCTACACTTATCTTTTCATTTATTTTTGTTTAATTTTATTTATTTTTTGTTTTTAATAATTTACCTAATTTTATTAAATATTTGTTTTTTTTTTAATTTGGTGTCATCGGCGTCGACTACTACGGCCATTAGCCTCGTGTTATGTGTAGGCTTTGTTACTGTTTCCCAGCGCCATTTTAGGAACAGCACTGTTAATTAGAACCCAACAGTGAATGGTCGAGTGGGGAATCCTACCAAGGCATCAGAATTAATTTTAAATAATTAAATTAAATGAAAAAATCCCGGCCAACGGTGGGATTCGATCCTGAGACCTTCCGATCTCAAAGTCATGACTCTAACCACTGAGCCAACCCACCCCCCCAATATTTGTTATTATTTTTATGTATTTACATTTTTAATTTTTTTTAAATATTTTTTTTTATTTTAATTTTAATAATACTAGTATTATTGTGAAAAAAGCGTTGGGCGCTCGATGTACGAGAAATATGGACAAAGCCCCACGCTTTTTTCACAATAATACTAGTATTTTTCATTTATTATTGTTTTAAGCTTATTTGAATAAAAGCATGGTAAAAAAAAATTATTTTTAACTTTTTAGTTTGATATGCTCTAAAAGCGTGTTTTTTTAGTTTTTTTAAACTATATTTATTTTTCACTTTTTAGTTCGATGTATTACAGAAGCGTGTTTTTTAGTTTTTTTAAACTACATTTATTTTTTACTTTTTAGTTCGATTAATTATTAAAAAAAATTGCCGAAAAAAACAATTATTTTTTTTTTTTCAGCCGTGGACGGGATTAGAAGTCATGATCGGTGAGTCTGGCGATCGAAGACCCGCGCCTTAGACCGCTCGGCCAACGAACGAACTTGAGGTAGTGGGATATACTGACAGTAATAACCCACTTGATTTTAGTCCAAAGGAGAGTTACAAATATACATACATACAGGTGAAGCTAATAAAAGCATGTTAAAAAAGAAACTACAAAATCATTGAATTTTCAGCTCGCTATGATTTTTCCAAGTCATGTATATCTCCCCTTAATTTCTAACCACCTTAACTCTGTCAGTTTTAATAATAGCAAAAAATGTCAAACACCATTTTTATGTAAAACTTTATCCTTTACAATTTTTATAAAAAACTTTTTTTTATAGCACCTACCGTTTTTAAATAACCTTAAAAAAACATTTTATTTTCTTGTTTTTTACATTTGCCGGTGCCTGAAAAACAAAATTTTTTTACATATCGTTTTCAAATACTCTAAAGTGACATATCAAAAATTCCTGTATTTCCTCCAAAATTTTGATTTAAAGGTCTATTTGATTGGACTAATATGAACTACCTTGGATTTATTTCCCGCTTATAGCTGAATGCGGTAGATCAGCAGCTCTATTCTTGACCACTCGCAAATTTGAAGGTCACTCGTAAAGTCTGACATTACGAACGAAATAGCAAATTGTGTATTCTTGATTATTCGCTCCGTGCGTGACAGCAGCGCCAATTCATTTTACGTACTAATGGACTATTTCAGTGTATACTGACAAATACAATTTTTAATAGAATTCGTAATTAAAAAGTATATATGTTAGTTTTAATAAAAGTATATGGATTTATAAAACAAGTAAAACATTAATTTATTATTATTATATATTTTTATCTCTTAAATTAAAGAAATTTAAGTATAATCAATAAAATTCAATAATAAAATATAGACAGGCAACAGTATTTACGGGAAAATGTATGAGAAGTTGCCTAAGTCTAATAAGTTGTCTGTCAAAATAAAAAAAATACCTTTAAATAATAGTGTGAAGTTAAAATGTATAAACAAAAGGATTGTTTTTTATATTTTCATTTTTGTTCGAAAGAAAACATAGAATGAATGATTAAAACTGGTTTTCTATCAGTAAGTCACAAAATTGCACCCAGCCACATACAATCATGAAAGGTAGAAATCTTGAAAACTAATCCTTGTTGAATGAACATTTAAGAATAAATAAGGGATCTTGAAGAACATCGTAAAATGATAATTTATTGTTTATTTAAAACCTTTCAAGTTTCTGATATCTACTATTTTCAGTATTACTGTTATTATTACAAAAATAATGGTAATTTTTCGTTTTATTGTACACCTATCCATTTATTTATTTATTTGATTCAATTTCCACTTTGCTACTAAAATTTTTTGTAATTTTCACTGTTTTTTTTTTTGCTAGTATTTTTACAATATTCAACACAGTAAATCCGGTTGCTTATTGTATTGTTTTTACCTACTTTTTTGAAAAAAAGTAAAATGTATACGTGTATTTGATGTGCCAAAATTACAAAATATCGCCCTAAAATGCACAAATTATCCGCAGCTAGCGCTGGTATCGATTTGGCTTCCCCTACCATGACTTCGCACTGAGCGAATACGCAACACATTCGAGTACTCGCATAAGACTGCGAGTGGGTATTATCAATCTCAAACTACTTGCGTGTGCGTTTAATAAATTGACTTGTGTCATATGTGTTTAGTTTTTAATTTAATAGAATTTTTTTTAATGTATACTACTCGTATTACACTTACTAAAAACCTTAAAGATGCGATTATACCATGGTTATACCAGTGAAAAGACATCATTCGTCCCAGAATAATAATTCATTTTATAATTTAAGTGAACATCAATTTGTGCAAACATTTAGAATTTCAAAAGAATTGTGTCAATTTTTAATAAATCCACTCTCGCCCTAATGAGACCTCACATTAAATATAAATGAACATATTTCATGTATTTGGTTAATAGTAGGTTTCTGATTTTGTAGGTTTTGGTAGCTTTAGGGTTTTTTTGCGCCAGGAAGCTGTAACATGTACATTGGTAGAAGTTTATTTGTATCGGTTTCCCGGGCATCAGTAAATCGACGCCCTGAAGAAAGCAGCAGTGCTTTAAATGAACCAGATTATTTTTAACAAATTTAACATTTTCCAAGAAATGTTTAAGAGCTAAATGTAGCCAGATAATGAAAACAGTCATTCCATGATACAAAAAATTCCAGTTCTGTTGCGATTTTTGACAAAATCCTGCTTGATGCTTTGAATTGCACAGCCGAACTGGGTCGCGTCCCTTAAAATGTGTCCCTGTGGCACGCCTGTTGATTCTAGTTTATGCTTTATCGCTGTTCGCTTTCAGTCGTTCCCGAGCGAATCCGTAGAGCTCTGTCCTGCCATTGCATACATAACATTTTTTACACCAATGCGCTACATCCCATCGGCAATTGATCCAATAAAATCTTTCCCGAACTCGTGCCAGTGTTCTTTTAGTACCAAAATGTCCTCCAGAACGGCTACAGTGAAGCTCCTCCAACACACTTCTGACATGTGATTTGCGCAGTACCACTTGGCGGACTACATGTACTCCATCGGGGCTTTCCCACTTCCGGTGCAATAGGTCATAGTGAAGATACAGGGAATCCCACTGAGTCCAGTACACTTTAATAGCTCCACTGTATATGGCTATTTCTTGCCAAGTAGGTGTAACTTTCAACCTTCAAACCATTGTCTTTCTTCTGCCTCTTTCTCAGGCTTTCAAGGGTGGTTTCTTCTTCGTGGTCCTCTGGTTTGATAGTGGTTGCCTGCATAGTAACTTTATCAACCGGTTCCTCCCGTTCTCCAAGACCCTTACTGTACCGGCATTCTCGCTCTAAACAGGGTCGCCTGGGGAGATAATGTCTGTGTTTCTATGAAGACGGCCTCTACTAAGCTCTACTTCCTGATTATTGCTAGAAATCCGCCTCGGTGTGGGTGATTGGCTTCTTCAGGACGCATAGCTGCTGTGACTATTTCTTGTTGGACTTCATGATGGTCTTCAGAAGATTGATCTATGTGACTTTCCGGCCTCATTCCCTGATTCTCGATTTATAGAACGAGCTCTGCTTTTACAGGTTCTTTAAAGGTGCATAATATGTCTAAAAGTCTTAAGTCTGAAAGAAGGGGAATTCAATGATTGATAAAATGGCAAGAAATATTAACTATGCTTATGTCGACGCATCTCATAATAATTGTAAATGAAAATATTATCATGAACTGTCTTTTTCAGGATGATTTGGAAAAACTCAATAATATTGTATGGCCTTATATAGCCGCAGAAGTACAGAATATCATAAAAAGTAGTCATGCCAAAGTTATTGTTGTTGAAGCAGCAGTGTTATTGGTAGCTGGATGGCAAAATATGTGTCATGAGGTAAATAGTTATTTTAATAATAATTGAGGGCCTTAGATAAAAGGGGTATAAGTGCATTTTGGAATAAAAAGGCTACAAGTGACGCTTGTACATGGTTTACTCTCACCAAACTGTAGGAATTTTTCACATAAAGATGGCAGTCTAGGTCAATATATCACTTAAATCTGTTTTGCACTAAAACCAAACCTCAATTTTAAATATTTATATATGCTATTATTTCCAAAGGCCCTCAATTTTTAAAATTTTATGAGGACTTCTCAAAAAAAAAATTTATATTTTTAGGTTTGGACCACCATAATTCCAAGGGAAGAAGCTGTTAAAAGATTGATAGAAAGAAATTTAGCCCCGGAACATGCAAATAATAGAATAAATGCACAACCCAACAATAAATATTACATACAACATTCAAATGTTGTATTATGTTCGCTGTGGCCTGTTGAATATACCAAAGAACAAGTCAAAAAAGCGTGGGATTTATTATTGAAGAGAATGCCTTCATGATTTTTCACGTCAATTTTACAAACTTGTATTTTCCTTTATATTTTCAAGAAGAATCAAAGTCTGTATGTAGTATAATATATCATGAGAATTTTTAGAATTTAATAGTTATATTGGGTTTAAATATAACAATATGGAGGTATCCTTAGAATTAAATCTTTTTTATAGGGATTATTTATGTATTATAAATCTGAAGAGCATTTAGCTCGTTTATTATTGCATTTTAAATATTCCTTTTGAACAAATCTTGGTTTCTAAAATAAATAGGTAGTTTAGTTAAAAAAAGAATTACTTGAATTATACAATGAAATTATTTTTATACTGAAATCGAAACCGTAAAATATATTTGATTTTTATCTGAGGTAGGTATTGTTAATGGATATTTTTACAATTTTATGATATGATTAAAATAAATTGTTAATGTTTTATTAAAAAAAATTTTTTCTTTAACTATTTTATGAAAACAGGTCCCAAAATGCATCACTATCGACAGCAAACATTTCTTACAAGGCCTAATAATGTTTTGACAACTCTATTAACTTATACGAGGATGGATTGAAAAGTTCGTTGGCTAATCTACAAAATGAAAAAATATTTGGATAAGTTGTTTTATTTTTTAACCTAATCCACCTCGAGCGAAATACATTTACGCCACCTCTAAGGTAATGCTTCTTTACCACTTTTAAAAAATGATTCTTCGGCAACAGTTCGAACCTACACGAATGAATTATAGCCATGGATGCAAGAGATGTGTGAACGCGGGCATTATTCTGATGGAACAACATTTTTCTTCGCAGCAATCCGGCCCTTTTAATTTTAATTTCTTCGCGTAAACGTCGCAGTAAGGTGCAGTAGTATTGTAACAACCACCGTCACTTAGAAAGTAACTGCTGTCACTAAATAACAATGTAGTGGCCAAAAAGACTAGTCATCAACGGGGGGGTAGTACACTGTTAAGTGTAAAGGCAGCGACTGTCACCAGTCACAGTCTGGGGAAAAGGTCCTTAGAGCTAATCCACTCACACCGTGACAAAAAAAAAGGAAAAAGAAATATTAAAATAAAAGGTTTAAAAATAAAAGATTTCCCCCCCTGATGAATATTGCAAGCGAGTTGAAGATTTGGTTTGCTAAATTGATAAAAGGCACTGTAGGTAGCAGCAGAGTTGGATAGTATCCCGATACTTTATGTGTATCCGGATACTTTTCAAATTTTGTATCCGGTATCCGTGGCCAAATTTGTAAGTATCCGGATACCGGATACTTTTTACGGCATTCGGATACATTATTTACTACAATCGTAAGAGCTAAAATCAATTTTTTTTTGTAGGAGAGCTATTCGAAAGTTTTGCTTTTAAGGAATATGTGCCCTGCCCCTTGCCGTAATATTTTATTTATATTTCTGAAGCGATTTAAGAGGAAAATTTACATTACAAACTGAAAGACCTGCGGGGCAACGGTAGTTTAGTAGGTATAAAAATTACAACTTAAGGGTGGAGCCTAAATACTACAAAATTACTTCCGAGACTAAACAAAATCCGAATTCGTTCATAATTTTAACAATTGCATGTAGATACGAGGGATACGTATTCCAAAATCTAACGCGTGTAGTTGAGACAAAGGAAAATCCTACATCGGCTGCCGACGTTCTTGAGTGGGTCAGAGTTACCTATATTAGGGGAACCAGAATTGTATTTGTTTCTCTTGGTGCATTGCGAGATATTGTTACAACGCAGTTCGATTTTTTAGAGGGTTTTACATTATTTTTATATTTTAATTTAATGAATAGGTTTAGTTAGATTAAATTACATTTAGGAGTAAAGAGTTGTGAAATATAAATACAAATAATGAAAAAATAGACGATTGGTTCGAATAAGGTAATATCAATTAATACAGGGTATTTATTAATTGAGTGCCGATACTTAAAGGTGTGAATCCTTGGGTGTTAAAGTTTTAAGAAAAAAATAACTATTTTATCATAAGTTTCTTATCACTCTAGATATTTTTATAAAATTTTGCCCAAAAAAAAGTGTTTCCACTCATGGTGGGTTTCTACCAAATTTCAACAAAATATCAAAAGCAGTTTCAATAAACTGGTTTTTATTTTCTTACGCGAAAAGGGTGCGTCGTACGAAAGTACGTCTTTAAACCAAATTTGCTCCAAAATAAATAAGGATTTTAAATATAATTTTGGTTTTTAGAAAAGCAGTGGCGTACCATATTTTTGTTCAAAAATATTCAGTTCAAACCCGGTACGGACGTCACTAGTAAAAATTTGGAAGTCTTACGACAAAAGGGCGGGATTGAAAGTGAAAGTTTAGTCTGTTGGTACATAATATATTTATATATCTAATTTTTATTATTACACTGAATGTGACATGGCTTTTTTGTTTGCCTTTTTTTGGATCAACAAAATATTATTTTAGTGATTTAAAATAAATTGTCAGTAATAATAATTATCTGTACTTAAACATATATACAAAGTAAAATCATAAAACGACGCATCAAGAAAGCACCAAATTATTAAACTTTTAATTTACGTAACATGTATTAAAAGTAATTTTAAAAAACCAACTTTAAAATCGCGCAGATGCCATCACCACATCTTAACCAAATTTATATGGGATCACCTCTGAGGTACCCCCTTACTAACGAAAAGAATTATAGAAATCGGACAAGGTGGTAAAGAATTATCGCTAAACATACATAAAAAATGAAAAGTTTGAGAATTTTCTCATGGATCCAATTATTAGATTTTGACCAAATTTATATGGGACCATCCCGGAAGTATCCCCTTTCCAGCAAAAAAGAATCATTTAAATCGGACATTGTGTTAAAGAATTATCGCTGAACATACATAAAAAAATATATACAGACGAATTGAGAACCTCCTCCTTTTTGAAATAGGTTAAAAAGGATATAATAATCTATATTAATTGTATTAACTAAAAAACTACTATGTGGAGTTATATATATCTTGTTAAATTAATCTTATATGTAAAAATGTGGGTTCGGTTCCTAGAAAAGTACCTACCTAGTTCACTGTGCAGCCAAATTTATATTTATGATACAGAATTTTTTGAATAAATAAAGTTAAGGTTTAATTAAACCCCAAGTTTTATCAGAAATAACATTTTCTGAAAAAAGTAACATATAAAAAGCAGACTTTTTGTGAGCCACTACGGCAGATGCAAGCTGGGTGTATCAATATGACACTGAGACTCGTCGACAGAACAAACAGTGGGTTGAAGAGGAGGGAGAGCGGTCCCACGAAAGGTCGGATGTCTCGAAGCCAAATCGAGACAATGCTTATCTGTTTCTTTGATAAAACGGGTATTGTGCACCGAGAATTTCTTCCTCAAGGACAAACGGTGACTTCGGTATTTTACATTGAAGTCCTGAAACGATTGTGTTAAAGAGTTTCTCGTGTGAGGCCGGAATTAACCAAAATGGTTGGGTCCTTCACCATGACAATGCGCATGCTCACACATCATTAAAAGTTCAATAGTTTTTGACCAGTAGGAACACAACAACGCTCCCCCCCCCCCCGCCGTACACCCCTGATCTGGCTCCACTGGACTTCTGGCTATTTCCAAAGTTGAAGGAATCAATGAAAGGACATCGCTATAAGGATTTGGAGGACATGCGCTAGTTCAGTGTGTTTGGTTCCACTGACCTTTAATTCTAACCAAACTTTTAACAAAAACATTAATAAATTTGACATATACGTTTTTACTGTCTTTATTTCTAAATATTGTTAACAAGCCATAAAAAATAGTTTTAAGGCATGTAATTGGTAACTAAGCGATTGTATATTAATACATGCTATCTACTTACTTTAGGAATATATTTATATTAAATGAAAGAACGATATAATTTAGGTAAACAAAACGCACTCAAAAAATCTACTGTCACTTTAATTGTCAGTGGAACCATAATTACAAGTCGTTCAGTCGACTTCAGGGGAGCTATTTTCAAAGTCGCGAGAATTCATTTCTCTCGAGAGAAATGTCATACGTCAACGTAAAACAGTAATTTTTAGGGCTAAGGGCCAGTGTGAACTCACTGATTGTTTCTCACGGTTTATTTAGAGATAATTAATATCCTCCTAAGAATTTTAATCCTCGAGGCATTTAAAAACAGCGTTTCCACATTGACGTATGACATTTCTGATGAGAATCTTGAGAGAAATGAGTACTCACACGGTTTGAAAATAGGTCCCCAGGGGGGCTATTTTCAAAGTCGAGAGAATTCATTTCTCTCGAGAGAAATGTCATACGTCAACGTAAAACAGTAATTTTTAGGGTTCTAAGGGCCAGTGTGAACTCATTGATTGTTTCTCACGGTTTATTTAGAGATAATTAATATCCTCCTACGAATTTTAATCCTCGATGTCTTTAAATACAGCGTTTCCACATTGACGTATGACATTTCTGATGAGAATCTTGAGAGAAATGAGTGCTCCCATACTTTGAAAATAGCCCCCCAGGGTGGTACAATAATGGTGTGGGGGAGTATGCGTGTCGGAGGAAGGACTGGGGCCCCTATTCTCGAATGTCTATTAAAAATGTCGCATTCGTCATAATGTCTACTACTAATGTCTATCAAAATGTCGATCGACTGACACTATCCATATTCTCAAAGGAAAATCGACATTTTGTAATCGGTGACATATTTGGCGAATGGTAACATCGGGCAACATTGGATAGAAATATACAAGACGAGCATATTAGATCATACAATTACTTAAAGGATCTCTTAGTAATACAAAATAATACTGCATATATATCCCAAATATATGTTTTTTTAATAAATACTAATTAAAAAGTAGAGAAAATATAATATAATCTTTTTAACTGAAATTTCATAAGGGTTTAAATAGAAAATTGGAAGTACAATTTGGTAAGAGATTAAATAGTAAGAAGAAGAAATATATTATTATAATATAATCTAAACATTACATAAAATGCGATATAATCTTTTTACCTGCAATTTGAAAAAATTGAGCTATATAAATTTCTTAATGACAGGTATTAAATCTCTTGGATAAACAGGAGCAGTGTTGGATCGGGACTTCCAGTGTCTACCGGTCAGAACGGAGAAGGCCCACCTATTAATTTTTTTTCATGGGCCGATTCCTTGAGGAGCAGAATAAGGTCCTCTTTGCACATTGGTGCATTTTTCAAGGGTTATTTCGCATTTCTTATTCTCAAGGGCCCACTGAATGAGACCCAGTGCCTAAACGAGAACTCACTGCCCGAACAAGGGCCCACTGCCTGAAAGAGGACCCACAGCTTGAACGAAGGTCTACCGGTCTTTTTCCGGTAGACTGACGGCCCAGTCCGACACTGGACAGGACTAATAATTGATAAAATAGGTGAAATTGTAAATAATCATTTCATATATATTTTTAAAAACAATTTGTACAATACTTATTTTAATTTTTCTTAGAAATAAATATAAAAGAACTGTCACTGTCACGACACTCATATTATGACATTATATTTAAAAGGGCATGCG